CTGCATCTAGTGGCGCGAATCAGGGACGGCATCCAGGAGTGCCGAAATCCCACAGGAGGGCTTTGTGCCTAGTGCCCCCACCCCCACAAATTTGGGGGTGGTATAGGGCACAGCAGGCAAGGGCCGTTCCCCCCCCAATCCTGGGGGGGGGGTTAAGGAGGCTAATTACCCCCATCATAGCCTCCAAATTACCTCGTGTGGGTCGGAGAGATGTTATTGTCAGCCATCTTCCAATGCACCCCCTAGTGGCCCCCCTGAAAACAAAACATCTCAAAGCATAAATTGAGATGGTTTGTACATAGTATTAACTGGGAGTTGGTCCTTTGGTTGGTGTGGGCTAGTTTTTTCTTCTTAAAACGGCATGCTCCAAGTTGCTGTTCAGTTCTTCAATGGGTGATTGTCAATGGGTAATAATATATATGGATGCATCACAGGCTCAATAGACCATGTTGTGCAACTGCTGTTTAGCTCCACTGACCTTTTTGAAAACAATAGTAAGAATTAATACTCAATCCACAGGTGCTTTGAAGCTTAAATAATGAGTCTCCTCAACACTTTCTCTCCCCCCCCCCACTCCCCAGTCTAAAATGCAAGTGACAAATACTCTGTGATTTTTACACTATTAAGATTGTTTTCCTCTTTGTCAGCAGTATCTCCAGAAGTGCAGTTGGATAGCTAAATTCCAAATTTCCAGGGTGGAAATGGCCCACATTGAAATGCCAAGCTCATTGTATCTGTCATTAGTGGTAAATGGGGTAATTTGATTGTAACAGTTAATTTAATACTTGTTAGCAATTTATTCAGCACAGTTAAGGATGCACAGAATTAATTCTATGAAGCATTCATATTTGGTGGGATTTGTTGTAATGCACATTCAGTTCTGAATTTTATTTGCATGGTAATATAATACTCATAATACTTCTGGCATAAATGTATGGTGTCAGTTATCAGCATGTTGTAGCAGTATAATCAATGCAGAAATCAAAATGGTTTTGAGGTCTTGGAAAAATGGGAACAGGGCTGAGCATCAATACAGCTATTGAAGATGGGTTTCAGAGAATATTATTTGCAAATTCATCACACACACAAAGACAGGAATGATCCAAAATAATTCAGGTGTATAGTGTACAGCAATTAATTTTGGAGTGATACAGAACTCTGTAGATTCAGACCTGAAGAAGGCTCACGTGCAACTGGAAAGCTGACAACCATGCTTTATCCTAAACATAGTTCAAGTACACATTCTAAACTGTCTTGCATCTTACCAACAACCAAAGTTGTGCTGTAGCAATAGAAATGAAAGATATTAGGTGTTAAAACTGAGTGGAGAGTGTTGTGACAATATTAACTTCAGCTGTGCATCTAGAACATCTGCCAAACATGCAGAAAGTCCCAGGTTCAACCCCCAACCTCTCCAGGTAGGGCTGGGAATGTCTTCTGTCTGAAAGCCTGGAGATCTAACACTAGTCAGTGTAGACAATAATGAGCTAGATGAACCAATAAGGCAGCATCCTATGTTACGTTAATAAAACTGTCAGTATGTAGTGATAGCCACCAACTGGGATGGCACTTAAAAGAGATTACATAAATTCATGGAGGATGAGGCTATCAGAGGCTACTAGTCATGATGATTATGTACTGCTTGCAGTATCATAAACAGTATGTCTATGGTATGCTGGAAATCACAAGTAGGAAGAGTAGTGTAGTGCTCATGTCCTGCTCACAGGTTTACTATGGGCATCTGGTTGATCACTGTGAGAAGAGGCCTACTACATTAGATGGACCTTTGGTCTGATCTCATCATGCTGTTTTTTAATAATTGCAATCCACAGTATGGTGGGTCAATGAGAAGTGATGGAGCACTTACTTTGTGTACAGAAGATCCTAGATTCTCTAGTATCTCTGGTTAGAAAATAGATATTTCCTGAGATTTTTGAGAACCACTATCAGTTAGAGTAGACAAGACACATTTGGTATGATTGTAGGCTCTTATGTTCCTAGTTATCTAATTAATGACAATAAACCTTAATCCAGAAATAACCAAAATATTCCACTAACCAACCAACACACATCATTAATGTGCAATTCCTGTCCAAGTTTTCCAGAAGTTCTATGAGATGTTCGTGCCTGGGAGAGCTAGAGGAGAATTCCCCCTCATCTCCTTGCAAATCTGCAAGCTATTTCACATATGTCAATAACGGGGAAGGGGGGGCAAATACAGAGCTTTCACACTTTATCAGTCAATAACTTGTGGCAGAACTAAGCTACCTAATGAAAATTTCATATCCTTTTATGCACAACATTCAGTTTTACAATTGCTTCTAAGCTAAGAAGGTTTGAATCTTTTGTTTGCTATGCTCGTTTCTTATAAGATGTCCTAACAAGTCATACTCATTCATAATGGGTTCAAACAACAAGAAAAATATGAACATTAGAAATAATTTCCTGAGGGTATGAGCTGCTTGCCAGTGAAGTACAATAACTCAAAAAGTAGCGGACTCTCCTTTGTTAGAGGTTTTCAAGCAGTCAATGGAGGCTTCCTATGAAGGATGCTGTAATAGTGAATTTCCTGCATAAGCACAGGAGTAGATTGACGTTCCTTCCAGCTCAATGATGCTATAATAACAGGAAGTATACTGGTCTGGGGTCATATTGCAGTGATGTTATGAAGAAGTTTTTACTTGAAGTCCATTCACTTGAAGGGATATATATATATATATATATATATATATATATATATATATATATATCTCTTGTGAAAGAAATGATGTTCTAAATGTGACCAATTTAATAAAGGCAGATATCACAGATTTTCTCTCACAAGAGGCAATGGTGGCCTTTAAAAGGATCGTGGTATGTGTGAAACCATGGAGAATATGTCTATGTTCTACCTCCACTGTCAATACATCTCTGAATGCCAGTTTCTGGGAATCACAAATGAGGATAATACCTTGGGTACCATTTGGGTCCTGCTTGCAAGCTTCCCATAGGTTGGCCACTGAGATAACAGGAGACAGGACTAGATAGCTTGATCCAATATGCTCTTCTTTTGTTTTTCTGTTACGTTCTTAGTTTTTTCTTTCTTTTTAATTTGGGTATTATTGCAGTTTCAATAATTTGCTTATATGTTTGCAAAGCAAGAATTATGGCCAAATAAGGGGTGCACAGAGAGCACTTGCCACTCCATTCATAGTGCTGTTGTTCAAGTTGAATGTGTACCAAAACAGCTGCCTGCCTCAGTAAGCACTGTTTTCCTTTTCTTTAAAAGCAATAGTTTTCTAACTAATTCCTCCACTAGACCATCCCTAAAAATTTACTGTGTCCTCCAATGCATAGTTTATACATTTCCTGCAGCCGTAAGAACAGCTCTAGCTGGATCAGATCAAAGTTTCATCCAGTCAAGTATTCTGTTCTCATAGTGGCCAGCCATTCACAACCCCACAAGTAGTACATATGCACAAAGCACTCTCCTGCTCATGATCCCAAGCAGTTGATATTCAGAGGCATACTGCCTCTGTCACACTATGCAATATATCCATCAAGACTAGTAGTCATTGCTAGCCTAATACTTTATGAATTTGACCAATTCCCTCTTAAAGCTGTCCAAGTTGCTAGTGAATTCAAAAGTTTAGCTATGTGCTGTATGAAAAAGTACTTCTTTCAAGTGTGTTTTTATTACACAAAGGGGTCACTTTTGCAATAGTATCCTATAAAATACAGGAGTGTCACTTTAAACACGTTTGTGCAAAGCATCCCAGATGAACTTTCGTTACTGAGTTATATTCCCAAACCCAATTAATTGGTTGCATTCAACATTCTCCATCTCCATCTGCTGGTGCCTAGTGGACAGGTGAGTTTTAATGTTGCACTGAAGAGGAATTGAACACAACAGCTGTCCTAATGGAAAGTCATTGCACAACAGATTGTGCCATCCATTGTGAAACAAAATTATGAGCACCCTGCTTATGAATTCACTTGTGCAACATTGTTGCACGGGCACAAATCATTTCCCCATCGGGATAAGTACACCCCTAAGTAACCTTCGCTTAGTGTTGCATTGGATAAAGCCGTATGTTATCATTTCTTGACATAATACCATGTTAGAATGCAAGTAAAATAATTTGCATGCAGTACAAGAAGGAACAGATTTTTGTGGTAATGTTTGGAAGCCAAGCCATCAATTGTTGCTATTCACTAACAAAACAATACAACAACTGTTGTATTGCACTGTAATTCTTTAGTTCTTTTATTTTCCCTCCTATTTGAGACAGCTTTGATATAATCCTTGTTAGTTGCTGGTCAAATGCTAAAAATAGAGGTTAATGGTCCATGTAAGATGGGGTTAGGTGGGAAGTGCTAACACATATTTTTTTAAGAAAATAAACATTTAAAAGAAATAATCCAAACAGTGCTCAGATCCAAGCATGCTTTCCTTGTTGGTGCTGGTTTTTTGTGTTTGTTTAAAGGCAGCCCGTCTGCCAATATTGTTCAGAGGATCTCGAGAGAATAGATGCTTTATGTGGTTGCCAAGTAGCATCTCTTTGATTAAACACATCAATTAATTCTGCTGTAATCTAAGGAAATGGGATCCCTTTGGCTTTAACCTTGCTTAATGTGGTATGTCTGTTTTGGATAGGAATTCATTTTGTGAGAGGGGAGGGGAAGATGCTGTTTTGCATGTGTAATATACAAAGGATACATTTTCAGTCAAAGATCAGGCCAGGATCAAGCAAGGTGAACTCAGAATGAATTTGGCTAGTCAACATGCATCACCACCTTAAGGCAGCAATGCTGATTTACACATAGAATTGTCTTCCAAGCTATGAAGTTGCCTAATACCTGGTCAGGCTTTTCAGAGAATCATAGACTTGTGAGTTGGAAGGGACCATTAGGATCATCTAGCCCAGGGTTTCCCAAACTTTGGTCTCCAGCTGTTTTTGGACTACAGTTCCCATCATCCCTGACTACTGGTACTTCTAGCTAGAGATGATGGGACTTGTAGTCCAAAAAGAGACTCGAGTTCGGGGAAACTCTGATCTATTCCAACCCCCTGTAATGCAAGCACAATGCTCTAACCAACTAAGCTATACAGGCTTTGGATCAACCTAGCTTGGTTATTGCTTACAATGACTGACGGTGGCTCTCCAGGGTTTCAGAGAGGAGCCTTTCCTAGCATTACCAAGAGATCCAGGGATATGGACCTGCCATCATCTGCACACAAAGTGTGTGCTCTATCATTTTGACTGTGAGTCCTGGGGAACCTGGTCTCTGCTTTGCTGGCCTTTTCCCACCTGGTCTGGGTGGGTGGAACCCTGACTGATTCCAGCTACAGAAACTGGGGCTGCTGAAAAGGCCAGAGACCACCTTGGTGGTCTCTTAAGTGCAGGCCCAGGGAATTGAGCCTGAGCTTTCACAACTGCTGCCCATCATTGTCAGGATGGACAGCAACAGCAGCTGATAGGTTCTATGCATATGATAACATTTTATTCTCTTGCTAATTATGCTCTTTTAAACATGCATTGAAATATTTAAGACAATTATTTGGATTAAGTTTGCTGCATTAAATGTGCATCCTATAGTTGACCTCTTTTGTTTCCAGTTACCGTAATTATGTTGCTTTATGAATGTGTACTTATATTTTACTTTCTTCAGTAATGTTTTATTCTGAATTGTTTTAATTGATTTTAATGTGTTGTAAACCACTTTGAGATTTCTTTCTTAAAAATATAAAGTGGTATAGAAGCGAAATTAACAATAACAATGACAATAATATCCCTTTGAGCTACATTTGATGTGGTGTAGCTCAGGAGAAGTATGGATGGATGAATCTGTCTATTTCTATTTGTTTCAAAAGAAAATTGCTTTGTTTTTAGCATAATTTCCCCCTTTTTCATTTTGGCATTAATCTGTGGTTTTACTTTCTGTAGACCCCCCCCCTTTAATCATCTCATACATATTCACATGTGTATTTTCACTTGAAACATACTTTAAACTGTTGAGAACTGCACCCTAACATTCAGACAAGTACAGAATCTTGTGGACAACTAAGGTCCATACATTAGTTTGAGAGATATGGGTCAGGGCATCTGTGCTCAGAATGGCTGTGCTCAGATTGGCTGATGGAGTTTTCCTTGGTATGTTTGGATTAATATCTCTCTAGTATGTAAGGCACCTGAAGTTAGAAAGAGAAAAGCTCAGTGTCCCTTACTCCTCAAATTATACCATTTTTCGGTTCAGTTTCAAGACTTTTGTTTCCAGATTCTATGTGTGCTTTCAAATGGCATTGCTAACACCTACTTGATTAAACCATCCATACATTACATTATTGATATAATGTGAATTCCAGACCACAGGTTATATAGTTTTTGAGATGCATAAATATTTTTTCTCATTAGTACTGAAGGTTGTGTTGTTGTTTTTTTAAGACCATTCCAAGTGTGTCTGGCTTGTGAGTGTCTGAATTTGCTTTGATTCTACAAGTTAGCTTCCTAGTGGTCTGCATTCTGCAGCCATCCCATGTGATTCTGCTTCCTGCAAACCTTGTGGCATCCTTGGCAGAGCTTTCTAGTAAGCATGGGAATGCGGGGAACTACCTTGTTGTGTTCCCTGCCAGCTGTTCACTTCAGTGAGGACATATTTTTGTTTTAAGGCAAAAGGGAAGACTTTCCTTAAAAACCAAACAAAGGAGCATACCAATTCCAGAAGCTTGTAGCTAGGGGTGCCAACTTGAATAAAATATTGGCAGCGGGGAGGTAAGCCCCATCCCGCATAATCAATTATATGATGCAGCACATACACACCATTTGAATGGCAATGTCCATTAACTATGTGGGGGCCTGGGCCCCTCAAATATTTTATTGGGAGGGCTGAAGACCCCTCAGCCCCTAGGAGTTGGCTCCTATGCTCATAGCCAGTCTCCACAGCTTCCTACACTTCATTTAGCACTCAGGTGAAGACATCATGAGGTATCTTCTCCCACGGGTCTTTTTCAGATTGGGAAGAACAGGCAGGCAGGGAAGCTGCAGGGCACTGAAGAAACTACCCTGGGCCACTTCACAGTGGTAAGGTAATAACCCCTCACCACTATAAAGCCACTCAAAAGTGACCTAAGAAAGAGGTATACAAATAGAAGCCTCTTTTTGCAAGGGAACAAAGTGTCTGAGAAACTGGAGGATGTGTTTTTGCACGAGACTAATTTTCACACTATTCTAGCATGTCACCACAATTCAATAGGGGAAGAGAACAACATTTCCTTGTTTTAAAAATGTAGTTATGACTAATCAAGTGTGAAAGTGTATGATGTTCTAGAGTTCAGGATGCAGGTGTGCTTGTGATAAATTATTCAAAGTTCTCTTTTAATTGTCTCCTCCATTTATGCAATAATAATAACAGTCGGGAGATACAGCAAGAAGAATATGAATCTGCACCAACATGATTGATTCTAATTACCAGTTTATCCGCCTGTAAGATAACTAGTGTAGCGTAATGTCTAAAAAAAGGAGCTGTAAGCTAGAACTCCCCTGTTAAAACATTGCTTCTGCAACAGACTCTCGTTTCTCCCTCTCACTCACCTTCATCAGAAATTTGGGGGTAATATTATTGTTATTATTTATTATTTAATTTATGCACTGCCTTTCATCTGAAGATCACAGGGCAGTTTGCAACATAAAATTCTTATATTCCTGTACTAGGGATGAGGATTCTGTGGCCCTCCAGATATTGTTGGACTACAAATCCCATCATCCCTGACCACTGAATATGCTGACTGGACCAATAGAAGGGTCACAGCTTCCTCATTCTTGTGCTGCATGCATGCTATAAGACACAGGTAGTCAGCACAGTGCCATAACAATACAGTGCTATCTCCAGTGTCAAACACCTGTTTTCTAGTCACTGGGAATTACGCGTAGAGAGAGTTGTGGACTTCCCATAGATGTCTAGTGTGCCATTGTGAGAACAGGATGCTGAGTGATGGGTCTTTATTTTCATCTAACCTAGTAGTCATCATGACTAATACAGTGGTATCTCAGGTTAGGTACTTAATTCATTCTGGAGGTCCGTTCTTAACCTGAAAGTGTTTTTAACCTGAAGCACCACTTTAGCTAATGGGGCCTCCTCCTGCTGCCACGCTGCAGGAGCACAATTTCTGTTCTCATCCTGAAGCAAAGTTCTTAACCCGAGGTACTATTTCTGGGTTAGCGGAGTCTGTAACCTGAAGTGTATGTAACCTGAAGCGTATGTAACCCGAGGTACCACTGTGCTCTACTCTTATGGGAATTGTATTCCAACAACATCCAGAGGGCACCACATTGGCTACCCATGTTGTGAAATTATTGGGATAATGCATGAGAAGGGTAGACCTTTATTTTTCTGTTTTCCCCACAATTTGTAGCTTGATTGCCTTCCTTCAACAAAGTGTTTGCTCTCAATGTGCATTCATATTCTGCATCTACTTTCCTGGTAGTACAATATAGTCTAGATTTGCATGAGTTCAGCACAGGCCATCGATTTACCCAAGACACTGCTTGTTTTCGCCTCCACGCCATGCTTTCTGTGTGTAGCAGGGTATTCACATAGGAGTGAAGGATAATATGATGTGGATCATGTGCACTTCGTGCAACTCAATAGCTCTGGCATTCCAGCAACACACATATGTACCTTGCACATTGTTTGTGGCCATCAGGAACTAACAACTGCACACAAGTAATGTTTTGTAGACCTAAATTGTAAAGGTCCTAAATTGTAAGAAGGTGTTTGATAATATGCCCTCTGCCTTTTACCAATATTCTTGTTAGCTCAACCCCTATTGAGACAATATCTCCCCCTCTGAATATGCTGCCCTGCTATACATCACAGTTCAGTTTCCAGCTATATTTCCCTAATCATGCCCATTCACACAAAGGCTCTTTTATGCTGAAATTGAGATGAGGTCCCCCTCCCCAAAATAATAATAAAAAAAACAATTCTGTCATGAATCCAAATCTGCCTGCAAATGGGGAGGGGGGGTGGGGACTTGCCAGTTCTCTTCTTCATATTGGGTGCACAGTTAAAGCAAACAGGCATACCCACATCTGGACTGAAAAAGGGTTGGCCTTTTGAATGCAAAGAAGAATGGAATTTGGCTGTACAAAAGAGCCTTTTCTTTACTTGATAGATCTCAAAGGGATTGACAAAGTAATGAGTTAAATACTGGTAGCGACAGTGACTTGGCAGGCAATTGGTACAGACATTGTGCATGGAACAATAGTTCACTCATTGCCTTGGACGTTAATTACATAAACTATTCTGTTTAAAAAAAAGAGAGGGGGAATGTTGGCTGGTAGAGATGATGCTTTGTATGCGAACCCAAATAGATGCAGAAATTTAAGTTCTGCCAACTCAGAAAAAGAATGGGGGGAAAACACAGTCAGATATGGAAGCCTGTGTGATAAACAGGAGCCAAATGGAAAGAGAGTTTTCAATCTGAGCAATTCCCCACATCTGAAACACAGCTATCAGCAAGCCCTTTGTAGCAGACAACCATTTATTAGTTTCCTCATTTCTATAATTTTTGCTCCATTATTTCCTGTGTGGTAATCTTAGCCCTCCTGGACATTGGTTTTTGCTCTTTTGCATGGCCCAAAACCCCATTTGGAGAGGCAATCCCAAAGCAAAGTCAGTATTAATGGATATGTTTGTATGTTGCATGTCCTTTGTTTAATCCTGTTTAATTTATCATGTGTTGTAAGTGGCCTGTTGCATCTCATCCCTGTCTGGATACTGTTAGGAATTGTGAATATCCAGTTTGGTTTGTATTTACCTTTTTTATTTTATTTTATTTTTAAAAAAGCAGGTGAATTGTGGCTATAATACTGAGTCTATGATACCATTTGCAACTTTTTCTATGGAGTGTGAAGAATGGAGGCATAATAGGATCCTGGAATGGTGGTTCTTACTGAATCAAGCTGTTGGGTCCAGCTCAGTATTGCCCATACTGACTTACAGCAATTCTGCAAGGTTTAAAGTCGGGTTTTCTCCCAGGTCCACCTGGAGATGGTGGATATTGAACATAGGACTTTCTGCATGCAAAACACATGCTGCATCACTGAGCTAAG